AATGGTTCATTACTTGGTAATTTTTGTTACACTTTATCAGAGGCTATCTGGTGGTGATCGACTGCCGGAGATGTTACGGCCGGTGTTTTTCTTGTTCTTCGCAGCGCCGAGCATTGCGAGCTTGGCTTGGAACTCCATAGCTGGAACTTTCGATACTGCTTCAAAGATGTTGTTCTTTCTCTCTCTCTTCCTCTTCGCGTCACTGGTAATGTTGCATTAGAATTAGGGTTTATTCACTTTCTGGAGGTATTAATTAAGGTAGAGGACCGTAAATGATCTGCTTAGGTTGATGCCTAATTATATTATAGCTCACCAACAAACATATTTAACCAGTTTTTTAAATGAGTTATAATAAAATAATATAAAATGTTTTAAAATTACACAGCTTCTGTTGCATGTGCATGAGAATTGACTACGAAGGATTTTTTGTTTCTCATTTATTTACAACGTAATAGAACGGAAAATAAACACTTCCAGACAAAAAAAAAAATATATATATATATATATAAAATATATTGAAGTGCCTACATCTACATGGGGGTTGGTGTTGTCTTGTAGCATTTTATCCGGCCGTGCGGTGTTGATGGTGACTGCAAAATTATGTGTTTTATTGGTCTTATATTAAATTAAGACGAGTCCGTACATGTATCAATTCGTCATTACTCTTTGTATTAAGTATTCAGATTTTGATATATTAGCAGCGGTAGGGATTCAATTTGCAGAGAACCAATTAAAACCTGACAGCTCAGCTAAAGTGGCCCCACCATCAAAGTTCGTCCTGTACCGGTACACCTCTCTCTCCTCTTCTTCCTGCTGTTTCTCACTGGTGCAGAAACTCACACGACGCAAACACACAGTCACCCACCGCTCGGTGTTCGCCCATTTTCCTTTCTTCTCTTGTTTTTTTCACACATACACAGACTGATTTTTTCTCCAATCAAACCAATTTTTCAATAATTAGCAGATTCAAAACCATTTTAAAACAACCAGTTAACAAAATAATCAATCAATTCAGAAACAAGTTGGATTTGATCGAAACAGTATTTCTTCTTCTTATTTGACTTAGATATGGGTAGTATGAGATCTATTGCAAAAAAATTATATTTGTTTCTCCATCTCTCGGTGGGTGTTGGTGATTATTCTGTATTGAGAGTAAGAAAGGGTTGTGGCCGACTGACGGTGGGGGGTGAATGGTGCCGTGGAGTGTTAGGTCGGTGGTGTGAGGGACATTTGGGAGACAGCAACTTTGATTTTGGCCCACTTGAGCCGAGTTTCTTTACCGGTGAGAAACAGCAGGAACAAGAGGACAGAGAGAAGAGAGGGGTACGGGACGAACATTAATGTGGGCCCACTGAGCTGAGCTGTCGGCTTTCAATTGGTTCTCTGCAAATTGTTGATTTATGGCCAAGCTGTAAAAAATTTAATTCCATATTAACATGTGACAGAATTCTTCCAAATTATATTCATATGTATCTAAATATATGATGACATTGATTTTTTTTTTATGAAATTAAGGTGAAATTATTAATAGTCAATGTCATTTAGTAATTCAGATGGCATCTTTAGATTGAATTTTTTACTATTAATAGATTTGATTATGAAAATAAAATTTGTCAAATAATTAAGTCGAAATTAAATCATAGTTCCTAATTCAAATTTGAATCGGACACAACCTAATCACAATTTGATCGGTTGAATTTGGAGGTAGCAACTTAACCCATTACTCATTAATCCGTCCATAAATAAATGAGTTAGGTATTTATATTAATTAATGTAAGTTTTAAATAGATTGGATAATATGAATCATTTTAATTAAGCGGGTTAAGATGAATTACAAATAAATATCTATTGAGTTGAGTATTTATATTTGTAATTAAATAAAAAAAAACAATAAAATCAAATATAGAAACTAATATATACCAAAAAAATACACACACACTAATACACACATATATACAAATACACAACCAAAAAAAACACCCCCACACCCCCCAACCCTGACCCCAACCCCGATCCTAGACTCAACCCTGGACCCAGACCCAGATTCATCCATGTGTATTAATGTGTATACTTTTTTTTTTATGTATTAGCATATGTTTGATTTGGTGTATTAGTATGTATCTATATTAAGAGTTTCAAATATTTTACGTGTTAATAGGTTGAACCAAACTTGTGATGATCTAACCCATTATAACTCATTTATTAAGCGGGTTAAAAATGAATTGGATTTGTTTTGCGCTCAACTCATTGTGAATCGACCCATAACCAACTCAACACGCCTATTTGTCACCTCTAGTTGAATTCATGCATGGATGCTTGTGATTAGTACTTATTCTGAAAATGTATTTTTTGGGATAGGAATAATTTTGAAAACGTCATAAAATCATTAAAAACCGTTTGCTACCATGAATGCTTTAGACTTTTTTTTATATAAACCAAAGAAAAAAAAGGAAAAAATATTGATAAGTCCTACTTTTCCTTCAAATAAGTCTTATCATATTTACCTTAAGACTTATTAGGAATAAATTTGGAAAAAAAAAACCAATAAGTATGTTAGAAGAAAACATACTATTGATGGAGAATAGGACATTGGGAATCGATGGGCTAAGCCCAAGGGCTCAACTCCAATAAGTCCAACTAGCCAAGTCCAAAGGAGTCTGTATCCGATCAAGTTCATCAGATTCCACAAGTTACATCAGTAGAGGAGCATACAAGGTCATCTAATACCTCCTCTACCACCTTAGAGTAAGGCTCATCATAGCCGCATTGGAGTAAGAAGGCTCATCCTAGCCACTTTGCAGTCAGACTCATCAAGAAGCTACGCCACATCATCAAGAGAGCATCAAGAGCCTTATCCTTTTCCCCTTGAAAAGAGTCAACATCCACGTCATCATTTGACTGAATCTCATGAAGAGCACCACAACTGTCTAGCCTGTTGAAGAGAAGTCGTGAACTCCATTAGAATAGTTATGTAGTTGTTAATACCTCACCCAAATTTGTTAGGAGGACGATTATAAATTGCACGCCCCTCCAACACCTGGGGGCATCGCACTTTACTTGACCACGACTCTCTCTTCTCCCTCAAAGCTTGTACTCTCTGCTCCCCACACCCTTTAACTAATAAAAGCACCCGGCAACCAAAGCCATTCAAGAGTGGACGTAGGTCACGTTGACCAAACCACTATAAATCTTGTCTCCTCCAATTTTCTCTTTATTTTTACTGCATTTATTATTTACACTTAACAGGTGGTGTACAAAGTCATTTTGTGCATCATTAGGAATAAATTATCAAAATTAGGACTTAATTATCCTAAGGTAAACATGATATGATTTAATAATTCTTTTAGAGGAAAACTAGGACTTATTAATAATTTTCCCAAGAAAAAATGAAAGAATTAATTTTGTTGACAACGATTGATATTTTTCTTGTTTTCTGATCAAGACAGATTTGCAGGCCAGCCCTCTTCAAGAAATCAATGAGAAGGTATAATGTGGCATGGTGGGCTTACTCTTTCCCCATAACAGTGCTGGCTCTAGCTTCAACAAAATATGCACAGCAGGTGAATGGTTGGGTAGCTCAGGCCATAACGTTCATTCTCTCAGCCCTATCTGTTCTGGTCGCTGCTGGTTTGCTGGTTTTCACTGCACTCAACACTAAAATTTTTTTACCTGATGATGATCCCATCCTCAATCTTCCTAGTCATTCACCAAGAGCAACGTGATTTCTGCTGCGTGAGGGAGAGAAGTACAACCTTAATCATCAGCTGTCATATTGTTAGTTCTATAGAACTAACAATATGACAGCTGATGATTAAGGTTGTACTTCTCTCCCTCACGCAGCAGAAATCACGTTGCTCTTGGTGAATGACTAGGAAGATTGAGGATGGGATCATCATCAGGTAAAAAAATTTTAGTGTTGAGTGCAGTGAAAACCAGCAAACCAGCAGCGACCAGAACAGATAGGGCTGAGAGAATGAACGTTATGGCCTGAGCTACCCAACCATTCACCTGCTGTGCATATTTTGTTGAAGCTAGAGCCAGCACTGTTATGGGGAAAGAGTAAGCCCACCATGCCACATTATACCTTCTCATTGATTTCTTGAAGAGGGCTGGCCTGCAAATCTGTCTTGATCAGAAAACAAGAAAAATATCAATCGTTGTCAACAAAATTAATTCTTTCATTTTTTCTTGGGAAAATTATTAATAAGTCCTAGTTTTCCTCTAAAAGAATTATTAAATCATATCATGTTTACCTTAGGATAATTAAGTCCTAATTTTGATAATTTATTCCTAATGATGCACAAAATGACTTTGTACACCACCTGTTAAGTGTAAATAATAAATGCAGTAAAAATAAAGAGAAAATTGGAGGAGACAAGATTTATAGTGGTTTGGTCAACGTGACCTACGTCCACTCTTGAATGGCTTTGGTTGCCGGGTGCTTTTATTAGTTAAAGGGTGTGGGGAGCAGAGAGTACAAGCTTTGAGGGAGAAGAGAGAGTCGTGGTCAAGTAAAGTGCGATGCCCCCAGGTGTTGGAGGGGCGTGCAATTTATAATCGTCCTCCTAACAAATTTGGGTGAGGTATTAACAACTACATAACTATTCTAATGGAGTTCACGACTTCTCTTCAACAGGCTAGACAGTTGTGGTGCTCTTCATGAGATTCAGTCAAATGATGACGTGGATGTTGACTCTTTTCAAGGGGAAAAGGATAAGGCTCTTGATGCTCTCTTGATGATGTGGCGTAGCTTCTTGATGAGTCTGACTGCAAAGTGGCTAGGATGAGCCTTCTTACTCCAATGCGGCTATGATGAGCCTTACTCTAAGGTGGTAGAGGAGGTATTAGATGACCTTGTATGCTCCTCTACTGATGTAACTTGTGGAATCTGATGAACTTGATCGGATACAGACTCCTTTGGACTTGGCTAGTTGGACTTATTGGAGTTGAGCCCTTGGGCTTAGCCCATCGATTCCCAATGTCCTATTCTCCATCAATAGTATGTTTTCTTCTAACATACTTATTGGTTTTTTTTTCCAAATTTATTCCTAATAAGTCTTAAGGTAAATATGATAAGACTTATTTGAAGGAAAAGTAGGACTTATCAATATTTTTTCCTTTTTTTTCTTTGGTTTATATAAAAAAAAGTCTAAAGCATTCATGGTAGCAAACGGTTTTTAATGATTTTATGACGTTTTCAAAATTATTCCTATCCCAAAAAATACATTTTCAGAATAAGTACTAATCACAAGCATCCATGCATGAATTCAACTAGAGGTGACAAATAGGCGTGTTGAGTTGGTTATGGGTCGATTCACAATGAGTTGAGCGCAAAACAAATCCAATTCATTTTTAACCCGCTTAATAAATGAGTTATAATGGGTTAGATCATCACAAGTTTGGTTCAACCTATTAACACGTAAAATATTTGAAACTCTTAATATAGATACATACTAATACACCAAATCAAACATATGCTAATACATAAAAAAAAAAGTATACACATTAATACACATGGATGAATCTGGGTCTGGGTCCAGGGTTGAGTCTAGGATCGGGGTTGGGGTCAGGGTTGGGGGGTGTGGGGGTGTTTTTTTTGGTTGTGTATTTGTATATATGTGTGTATTAGTGTGTGTGTATTTTTTTGGTATATATTAGTTTCTATATTTGATTTTATTGTTTTTTTTTATTTAATTACAAATATAAATACTCAACTCAATAGATATTTATTTGTAATTCATCTTAACCCGCTTAATTAAAATGATTCATATTATCCAATCTATTTAAAACTTACATTAATTAATATAAATACCTAACTCATTTATTTATGGACGGATTAATGAGTAATGGGTTAAGTTGCTACCTCCAAATTCAACCGATCAAATTGTGATTAGGTTGTGTCCGATTCAAATTTGAATTAGGAACTATGATTTAATTTCGACTTAATTATTTGACAAATTTTATTTTCATAATCAAATCTATTAATAGTAAAAAATTCAATCTAAAGATGCCATCTGAATTACTAAATGACATTGACTATTAATAATTTCACCTTAATTTCATAAAAAAAAAATCAATGTCATCATATATTTAGATACATATGAATATAATTTGGAAGAATTCTGTCACATGTTAATATGGAATTAAATTTTTTACAGCTTGGCCATAAATCAACAATTTGCAGAGAACCAATTGAAAGCCGACAGCTCAGCTCAGTGGGCCCACATTAATGTTCGTCCCGTACCCCTCTCTTCTCTCTGTCCTCTTGTTCCTGCTGTTTCTCACCGGTAAAGAAACTCGGCTCAAGTGGGCCAAAATCAAAGTTGCTGTCTCCCAAATGTCCCTCACACCACCGACCTAACACTCCACGGCACCATTCACCCCCCACCGTCAGTCGGCCACAACCCTTTCTTACTCTCAATACAGAATAATCACCAACACCCACCGAGAGATGGAGAAACAAATATAATTTTTTTGCAATAGATCTCATACTACCCATATCTAAGTCAAATAAGAAGAAGAAATACTGTTTCGATCAAATCCAACTTGTTTCTGAATTGATTGATTATTTTGTTAACTGGTTGTTTTAAAATGGTTTTGAATCTGCTAATTATTGAAAAATTGGTTTGATTGGAGAAAAAATCAGTCTGTGTATGTGTGAAAAAAACAAGAGAAGAAAGGAAAATGGGCGAACACCGAGCGGTGGGTGACTGTGTGTTTGCGTCGTGTGAGTTTCTGCACCAGTGAGAAACAGCAGGAAGAAGAGGAGAGAGAGGTGTACCGGTACAGGACGAACTTTGATGGTGGGGCCACTTTAGCTGAGCTGTCAGGTTTTAATTGGTTCTCTGCAAATTGAATCCCTACCGCTGCTAATATATCAAAATCTGAATACTTAATACAAAGAGTAATGACGAATTGATACATGTACGGACTCGTCTTAATTTAATATAAGACCAATAAAACACATAATTTTGCAGTCACCATCAACACCGCACGGCCGGATAAAATGCTACAAGACAACACCAACCCCATGTAGATGTAGGCACTTCAATATATTTTATATATATATATATATATTTATTTTTTTGTCTGGAAGTGTTTATTTTCCGTTCTATTACGTTGTAAATAAATGAGAAACAAAAAATCCTTCGTAGTCAATTCTCATGCACATGCAACAGAAGCTGTGTAATTTTAAAACATTTTATATTATTTTATTATAACTCATTTAAAAAACTGGTTAAATATGTTTGTTGGTGAGCTATAATATAATTAGGCATCAACCTAAGCAGATCATTTACGGTCCTCTACCTTAATTAATACCTCCAGAAAGTGAATAAACCCTAATTCTAATGCAACATTACCAGTGACGCGAAGAGGAAGAGAGAGAGAAAGAACAACATCTTTGAAGCAGTATCGAAAGTTCCAGCTATGGAGTTCCAAGCCAAGCTCGCAATGCTCGGCGCTGCGAAGAACAAGAAAAACACCGGCCGTAACATCTCCGGCAGTCGATCACCACCAGATAGCCTCTGATAAAGTGTAACAAAAATTACCAAGTAATGAACCAT